TGTATTTATTTATTTGTTTATTTATGAGAGTGGAAAGGGGTGCTTGTTTGCTGATATGTAACTTGTAATTCATACCGAATTGCTTGGCGCTCCAAGTCATATCGTAGTGTTGATCCCTTCTCGAATCCGGTTCCTGAACCGCAAGCCATAGACTGTTCAGAAGCCGCTCTAGCAGTGAATCCGTAGATTTGTGGCACATGCTGCAGGTTTTGAGTTGCCGATGTTTGCAAGAATGACCGCGAGTCGTATGAACTCAGCTGCTGCAACTGCACATCATCAAGATCTGCCGATTTTTCACGACTGACAAAAATTGCTAGCTCATTTATGCAACCGATTCCCTTCGTTCGTTGGCACTGAACCTGCACCCGGACCAGCAGACCTTAGCCACCGATGCAAGGCACTGACGGCTTGCAGTAGTTCTCGGTGCTCTGCCCTGTGCTGCTGTTGGATGGATTGTTGATTTTTTGCTGGGGCCTTGGGCAGGAGAGTTGCATGGATGTCGCCAGCCTCGGCGAGCAGCTAGCCACCTGCTTCCCGTGCCTCAGAGGCACTTCCTCTTAAATGACATTGCCTTAGACTCTGAGCTGCACCGCCAGCTGGACCCGGAGTCACAGACTTCAGCAAACCTCAAGGGAGCGGCAGCAGCAGCAAGCCCAAACTGTTGTCCCGGTCGGTTTTTGTTAGTGACATCTTCACCGCAACTCTTCTCACAAACTCTTGATTCCTGCGCCCATTGAAAACCCTATCTGCCTACCCTGAAGTCCGAAACCCTGAACTCGGAACATGAACCTTACACCCATGCTCTTCAAGCTTCTTTCTGTTATGCTCTTCGGGAGCTCTGGCCCGTCAGAGGCCGTTAGGTTCTCGTTACAGGCAGCTTTCCGATTTTTGTACAGGGAGGTTCGGGTTCTCAGAGTTCTTAGAGCTCGTAGAATGCGTAAGTTGGGAGGGTTGCACTGGGCATAGGTTGCAACAATTCCTGCAGGGCTGGCCGTTTAAGGCTTTGAGTTTTGGAGCCTCCTGGTCTGGTATGAGGATATCCCGCGGAGCAGGAGAAAAATATATAGGGCTTGTGAGGCTGTGGAATGCTCCGGACAAGCAGCGTGTGCGATGCATGTCGTTTATAATTTTTGGCAGATTCGCAGATTCATGCTGCCGCGTAAAACCCATTCACCGCAAGGCCACCCAAGAATAGCGACTCCTCCTCTTTGGCTCCTGGGGACTGGATTGTATGATTAGCTTGGGTTTCCACGGCCTGCCTCGGGCTTGTCAGAGGATGTACCTTCGACACCCCGCTCAATGACGACAAAAACTGACTTCAACTGTTTTCACTGAGCCTTTTGCTACCACTTGTCTTGGCGTTTGGCGATGTAGCCGCAATTATCGCCGAGGTGGGATTGAAACATCCCCCTTGGTTTTGGAGCAAGAGACGCGCAATCCCAACAGCTTTGGGCAGCCTTCATCGCTAAGCCCTATCTTCCCGAACCCACCGCCAAACCCGGTTTGTTTCCTGGCGCCGCGTCTGACACCGAGCAGGCCCGATTCCGTCATTCGAAACCCCTGACCTGGAACAAAAGACTCCACCCATGCAATCATCAACTACTGTAGATGATCAGGTTTTCAGAGCAATCAAATGCAGAACCAAGATTCAGTTGAGGTGCCGGCAACTACGTGCACAAAGCGCCGCGCAGGAATCGATTCAAACCAAGGGCACCAAGGCAGACATACGAGTCTGGCTTTCTCAATCTGAGGGTCCTTGTAAGCATATGCTGGACGTTGCAAAGTATGGTTTTTCCTTGCTCGCCAGGTGCGTGCTTTGATCGAAGAAGTAGCTGCCAGACATAGTGGTGATATGCAGACGGTGCTCATCTACGATGACAGCAGGCTGGGACTCTTACTTTTGCAAGTTTCCCCCCTACGGTTGCGCCAATAATTGCGACGGCATGAACCTGATCGCGCAGAGATACTGCAGTTAGAATCTGTGCTTACAGAGCCCGTGTCGTTTCGAAGGTTTCCAAACGATGCCCGGGCGATTTTCGGACTCTTGACGGATCCTTAGCTGCAGCAGCTTACTTTGGTGTAGGCCTTTCAGCGGACTCAAGCCAAGCTTCGCATGTCCATACTTGCAAAAGCCAGAAATCAACTTGCTTTCAGCTCAGAGCCCTGAGCCTCAGCCATGAAGCCATCGAGGATGTAACCGTGGCTGGTGTGCGGGTGCCGAATCCCAAGAAGTCCTTCCTTGGCCAAAGCATTGCAGAGCCAGGCAGAGTCAGGGCAGGGTTCCGTTTCGGTTCTGATGCAAAGCCCGTATAATCCGTCATACCGTTGCTTAGCGTTCCTGTAGTGATAGGTCTTCTACATCAAGGTAGACTTAGTCTGTCAATGAAGGCCCTGTATTAGTGCTTGCGACTTGGGGCCACGGTTGTGTTGGCTTGATGGCAGGCTTGAGAGGCTTTAGAGATTCAGGCCGCTCAAGCAAAGTTTTCTCTTCTGCAGACTTGGAAAGGCACTATCAAGTATAGCATCTAAACTAAAACAATCTAGCGGCGTATTCAATGCCCCCCCCCCC